AAAATTTTCTAAGTAAAAATGAAATAACTTTTATTGATTATTACAAAAATTATAGTGTAAAATTATAAAAAATCAGAAAACCACTTATTTTTCTCTTCCCACCCACCTGTTGCTTTCATTTTTAATATATATTTTTTAAATGTTACATAAATGCGTATATGATTTATAATTTTAATATTATGCAGATGCGTATTTATTTTATCAAAACACATTACACGATCACGTCTAAAAATGTTTTCTGTATTACGTATACAATTAACTTAATCTTTGTATTAAAAATAGTAAATTTTTTTTACACAAACATGTTTATAATTTTATTTACATATTTTATTAGATTTTTTTAATGTGAAAAATGTAAAATATATATTATATTACCATAAAATCTTGAATTTAAGCACCCCCTTTTTGCAGTCATGTGATAGACAAAATTGGTAATGGTGCTTAATTTTGATTTTACTATTAATTTTTTTAATCAATATACATCAACATACATCTTACCCCTATTTCTTTCAAAAATTCTTCACACGTTTTGACAATATTTTTAGTAAAAATGACACATAAAAAAGTGGGTGTAAGACAATGTACATCATATTCACTTGAAGAAAAATTAATAGTAGTTAAGTATGTCCAAGAAAATGAAAGAAATGCTGCAGCAAAGCATTTTAATTTAGACGTACCTATGGTAGGAAGATGAATAAGACAAAGTTCTAAATGGGAAGAGGAAAATAAAAAGAAAAAACATTCTGAAACTTCAGGAAGAAAAGCCTTTTATCTTAAAGCAGAAAAGATTTTATACAGTTGGATAATAGAACAGCGGAAAAAAGGGTTTGCTATTAATTATATCTCCATAAGATTACAAATGTGTAAAATTCTTAAAGAATCTTCAATTCAAGCATTATATTCAGTGGGAGAGTACGAATTCCAAAGGAATCTTTCTTGGATTAATTCTTTTATAAAACGATTTGGATTGTCATTAAGGAGAAAAACTAAAATTTCTCAAAAATTGCCTGAAGATTTAGAAGAAAAATTAGATGAATTTAGACGATATATTATAAGACTGAAAACACTATATAATTTTGATTTGAATAGTATTTTTAATATGGATGAAACTCCTGTGTGATTTGATATGGCAGGAAATATAACTGTTAATAATAAGGGTGATAAAACAGTGCATATTTATACTACTGGAAATGATAAAAATCATTTTACCGTAGTTCTAACTTGTTCTGCAGGTAAAAAGTTTTATTTTTTTATTTTTTTATATTTACTTTAATTATTTTATATATCAATTAATAAGTTCATTGTATTTATTTATAGATGGAACAAAATATCCACCAATATGTATTTTTAAAGGTAAACAACTTCCAAGAGGTGAAGTTATTCTAAAAGATGTTATTTATTAGTTTTAAGATAAAGGTTGGATGACTTTAGACTTAATGAAGAATTACATTAATTTTTTATTTAAAATTCAAATGTCTGAAAATTTGTCAAAAGAACCTGCTATGATGTTATATGATTCTTTTCGTGATCACTTGGAAGAAAGTGTTAAAGCTAAATTTAAACAACATAATTTTCAATTAGCCGTTATTTCTGGAGAATTAACTAGTGTATATCAACCATTAGACGTATCAATAAACAAACCTTTTAAATTAAAGATAATTTACGAAAAGAATAGCACGAATGGATGTGTAAAGGTGGTTTAAGTGTAACTGAAGGGGGTAACTTAAAAAAAGCAAGGATAAGTGAAGTATGTGGATGGGTCAAATGATCTTGAGATGCCATTTCAGATCAAATTATTTTTAATTCATTTAAAAAATGTTCTATTTCAAATTTATTGGATCAGAGGATAATATGGTCTATGAAGAAATTGATAGATTGATTGTTGAGTATGAAAAAGAAAATTTAGAAGAGTTAGGTGATGATGTTGAAATTGTCTGCAATTAAATAACTAAATAAAAAATTTTCTTACATTCATTTTGATATTGTCAATGAGTTTATTGTCATAGTTTGGTATAATCTCATTACACTCAATTCAAAAAATCCAAAGCTGTTCTTAATACAAAAAAAAATATTAAAAAAAATTCAAACTTAAATTAAACAAAAAACAAGTATCTAATTTACCTTTCAGTCCATTTAAGTTCCAAGAAGTTGGTGCCACTGATGTCCCTAAAAAAGAAGAAAAGAAATGTTAAAGCTTAGAACATTTTTTATTTACATTTCTTAATCTATACCCTTTTCCTTTCTAATTTACCTTAATATTAATTAAGTCTATTCGTCAAAGTTGTCAGGTATTTTCACAATAAGAAAAATTTTTTTTTTTGGACTAACTTAAAGGGAAATTGTAAAAAAGTGTCTTTAAAAAAGGCTAAAATAAATGTTTTTAACTTAAAAAAGGATGAAATAAATTAAAAATGTTTCGTGCTTATATAGTTATTTTATTATTATTTGCAAAAAATTTTATCAATTAACGTTGGTGTATAAAAGAGTTTTGCTATGCCAAAATAATTTTTTTAAAAAATTATTAAAAAAAAATAAAATTTTGATATATTGTATTATGCAATTTTGTACCATAAAATTTATATTTGGGAATGCTTAAATTTAGAAATGTTAGATTTTAGTTTATACAGACATTGCGACAAAAGTGACAGAGATGTTTAAATTTGGTAGGTGCTTAAATTCAAGATTTTACAGTATATATATATTAAAAAATTCTATTCTATTACGCAAATATATATCTGACTATTAATAATTTAATACTCTGCTATGCATAATTATATCTGACTATTTTAAAATTATATTATTAAATAAGCAATAATAAATCTCACATAGGAAAAATTTTTATATGTTGGTTAAACAAACTCAAAACCTACCTTTATATATATTGTTTGGGGTCCTACTTTTTTACTATGAAATTTGTGTAATAGTAAATTTTTACTCCATCTTATATAATAATATATACTGAAATTTTACACATAAATTCAAAATATTTTAAAGTCTTTGTGAGTCAATTTTTATTGAAATTAAATACATATTGAAAAATTTTTATTAAAGATGATTTTTACATTTTATTTAATATATAATGACTTTTAAATTCAAAAAATACTTATTTATTATTTGATTACAGTATGTAATTTATGTTAAATATTCTTTTTATGCTGTTAAAATTAAACTTATACATATAATTTTTGCAATGTTAATATAAACAAACTATATAAAAAACAAAAAATCATGAATCTAATAAAATTTTATTATCAAACTAACCTTTTTCTCACTAAGCATTTCGATTCTTTATAAAAAATTATATGTATTTAAGTATTTAAATAATATTTAATTTTCATACAAACTTGCATCTGAGGTTGAAGCCAAAAAAGTAGGAAAAGTTAGACTAATATAAACTTCTCAAATAAGCGTTATTTTGTTAAATAAAAAGTTAAAATAAGTATGTAAGAATCTGAAAAATAAAAGTTTACTAAGGTCTGTAAAGGCTTTACTTAAGAGAAAACTTTGAAACATTTGTGACTTTATGCTGATAATTTTTGCAATACAGTACAATTTTTTAATTAATGATCAATATGTTATGTGTAAAGATGGTCATCAGTCCTACCAGTCCTACTCAGTTTTAAACTGGTCAGTCCCAGGACTTGTAGGATTGGACCACAGTCTTTCATTTTTCTCTAGTGCAGTAGGACTGGTTCTAAAACTGACTTGATCCTCATATTGGTCTTTGTATATAAATGATTTTTATATTAAATAAAGTTATTAGTAATCTAATGAAAATCTTTATAAAGGAATAAGAAGACTGACCAATTTTGATAATCACAAATCAATAATAAAGGAAATCATTTTCTTTATTTACATGCCTATCGAAAAATCCTATAAATTTATACAATTAATATTCATTTATAAAGCTAATAAAGTAATTGAAAAAAATTATTATTTGTAAATAAAAGAAAAAAAACTGGTCAGTTTTAAAAAGACTGTGGTCCTTGAAAAAACTGATAGTCTTATTGTACGTGTTGCAGAACTGAAAAACTGCAGTCCTACATTAAGACAGACCAGTCCATCTTTTTAAGATGTAGGACCACAAGACTGTGGTCTTTTAGGACTGATGACCATCTTTAGTCATGTGACATGACCACTGAGTATTATTGTATTGACAGAAACTAATAATAAACTTTTTAATTGGGCAGTATTTAAAATAAATTTGTAAAACAGATAAAATTACTTATAAATTATATAATTTTAAAGGTTATAAAAAATTTATATATTTTATTTTAAATAAAAAATTTTTTTGGAAATAATATTAATTTTAAAAGGATGTAAAATCACTTAGATAAAAAATAAATTTTTCATTAAAAATAAATAATTAAATATTTATTTTTTAATTAAAAAATAATTTACTGTTTAATAAAATAGAATAATTTTTTTTACCATAATTTTTTATTATGATAAATGTTAATTTTAGTGAAATGTATCCCAAATCAAATTGTGAAAAATGTAACTTTGGGTTGGTATTTATAGTGCATTGTAGTGAATCTTTTTAAATTGACATCAATTAGTGTTTTCTAATATGAATGTCAGGAAAGTAAAAAGAAAAATAATAAAATTTTAGTATTTTATACAAATCATTTGTGGTTAAAAAACCTATATTAAGATTTTTATATTAGAAATTATTAAAATTATTGATTGGATAAAAACAATTATTTTCTTGTAAGTTTATAATCATATTATTAGATATAAAAAATATAGTTATAGTAATTTCTGCCAATTTTAGATGGATTATTACAAAGCTTAAGCTTATAATTATTTTGTTTTGATTTTTCTTTTTTTTAATTTCGATTATAATAGTTGAGTAATAGTTGGTCAATTAGTAGACTTTATTGAGTATTACCTATAAGATCACGTGAATACTGATTAAATCAGCTTGCTGACGCAAGGAAATTATGTCAGCCAATCCGGAATAAAATATCCGGAAACTGATTGAACTGCGGTTATTGACTTAAAGCTTAAATATCGCGAGTTATCTCCAAAAACTTTTTATTGCCACGCTCTTAACGGAGCTTCAACATAGTTTTACTCTAAATTTTTAATGTAAGTTGTATTATCCTGTTATCAAATAGATACGAGCTGAGCTTTTTATAATGTGAAGTTCTTTTACGTTCTTTTGTTTGTAACTTGTGAGTTTGAGTTAGTGACTATATTTTATCATTATTTGGTTTAACTCTTATTTTGGCCTAAAGAATAAACAACACGTCTTGCATTATTAGGTTATAGAATTTTTTTTAAATAAATGTCTTTGAGAACGTGATCCTAATTTTTTTATTTGAATAATTAAATTATCCGATAGCTTTAAATTCAGCGAGAATGAGCAGCAATTCATATTTGGTAGTCGGGTTACTAGAGAAGGTATAATTCCTGTCTGATTATAACTATCGTTATCTTGATTTACCTAAAATTAATATGTGGGATCACTTAAATACGAAAACAGATGGACTCTAGCGATACCGATTTTCGGTACATGGCTACTAATGATTTAATGAATGAGCTCCAGAAGGATGGGTTTACTTTAGAAGAATCCACTGAAAAGAGAGTAGTTCAAAAAGTAATAAAATTAATGGATGATGCTAATGGAGAAGTGCAGAATTTGGCAGTTAAATGGTAATAATCGATAGCTAAAATTTAAGAATTATGAATCTCTTATAAATATATTCTAATAATTTTTATGATGACTTGTTAGTCTCGCTCCACTTGTTAAAAAAGTTCGTGAGCCACAACTACAAGAAATCGTTGAACAGCTCTGTAGCTATACGACACAACCAGGAAAAGAAGAATTGCGAGATATCGCGGGCATTGGTAATAATAATATATACCCTTTGTTTTTGTTTTATATGATAAAAATCTTAATTTTGATGCCATAAAAAATTATAAGGTTTAAAGACTGTCATTGTTGAAATACCAAGCAATTCCCCTAGTGCTAGCAATGTTGTTGTACGATTAATTCCAAGGCTCCTCACACAACTTGAAGATGTTAGTTATTAGATGATCAAATTGAATTTTTTTTATCTCTTATAACTTATTAATGTTTAATTGAAAATAGCCTAATGCCACATATGAAGTAAAAATGGATACACTTGATATTTTAAGTGAACTCCTTGCTCGGTTTGGACATTCTGTTGCCAATAATCCGCAAGTTCAAAAGAGAATCCAAAATGTTTTAATACCTCTTTTGAGTCATTCAAGACCAGCATTTAGAAAGAGGACCACAATTGCTCTTGGTACATAAACACTTTATTATTTTTTTTTTCATCATACATTTACTAATTATTTTTCGTTTTAGGTAATCTCGTGACTCATACTCCCGACGATTTATTCAATGAATTGGTACAGCAATTACTGGTAGAATTTAGTAGAGCCGGTGATCAACATGATAAATTGAAAACATTAGTTCAATGCGTTGGGACATTAAGGCACGTGATTATAGATCAAAACTCTTAAAATGAAAGAAATAATAAGTTTATTTTACGCGTTTTTAGTCGATCAAGTGCTCCAAGATTAGGGAAACACTTGCCTCAATTCTTACCATTAGTAATTAAAAATGTCGATGCTTGCGACGATGATGAATTACGTGAAAATTGTTTACAGGTTAATCGCTCAATCTTTTCATATAAAAAGAATATCAAATGTATATTTTAAGTAATCAAATACTAAAATTATTCTTTAGGCACTAGAATCATTCGTGCTACGTTGTCCCACAGAAATCACGCCCAATATTAATACTATAATTGAGCTTTGTTTAGTTTATTTGAAATATGATCCTAATTATAATAATGATGCAGAAGAGGATGACGAAGAAATGGACGAAGATGAAGAAATGGCGACAGAAGACGAAGATGAAGATGAAGATGATGAGGGGTGCGTTTGTTTTCAATATAGATGTCACATTTGATAAATTGTATTAAATGTGTTAATTGCAAAATTTACAGAGATTATTCCGATGATGATGATATCTCTTGGAAAGTACGTCGTTCTTCTTCAAAAGTACTTGCAGCCATTATTGGCACTCGACATGAACTTCTTTCTCAATTATACCAAAGTGTTGCCCCAGCTTTGGTAAATCGCTTTAAGGAACGGGAAGAATCTGTGCGCGTTGATGTGCTCCAAACATTTATTGCATTGCTTAGACAAACATTTGTATATGGTGGAGAAGGTTATGCTCCAAGAGATGATGACCATGAACCTAAACGTAGAAGGGCAATTGGTCCTAGCGAATCTCAAGAAAGGTAACTTATTCAGAAATATAAGTTCCCACGCACGTGTTGTTAATTTATTTAATTTACTTTATATTATTTTTATTTTGAAACAGCCCCAAACAAATGCTTCGAAACTTGGTGCCTAAACTTAGCCGAAACCTTTCGAAGCAATTACTTTCAAAGTCAATTGTCACTAAACAAACTGGATTTGTGCTTTTGAGGGAGTTGGTTACAGTGTTGAATGGAGGTCTTGATAATAATCTTAATACTTTCATTCCGGCCATTGAAAATTCTTTATCTACTTCTTCAGATCATTCGAACCATCATTCTAGTACAAATTCTAATTTGAAGATTGAAACTTTGAGTTTTCTCCGGCAGTTGTTTAAAGTTCATCCACCGCAAGTCTTCCATAATCATCTTGCTAGACTGTGCCCTCCAATAATCTCCTCTGTTGAAGATAAATTTTATAAGATCACATCCGAGGCTTTCTTAGTTTGCATTGAATTGGTTAAAGTTATTCGTCCTATTGAATATAATGCGCAAACTAAGACATATAATATACAGCCGTTAAATCCTTCTTTCAGATCATATATTTTGAACATTTATAATGTCACTATTGCACGTCTTTCAACAACTGATGCTGATCAAGAAGTTAAAGAAAGATCCATTATGTGTTTGGGCGTACTTATATCCCAGTGTGGTGACAATTTGAAAGAGGAACTTAAAGTTTGCATGCCAATGCTTTTGGATCGTTTGAGAAATGAAGTTACACGTTTAACGACTGTAAAAGTTTTTACAAGCATTGCTGATAGTACAGTATGTGCCAGCGAAGAAGTAAAGCAAGCTGTGATTGGAGCTATCAACGAAGTTGCAGTGTTACTTAGGAAGAGTCATCGTCAATTAAAAGTCGCCAGTTTAGTATGTTTGGAAGTTTTTGTTCGAAGGTATGTCTTACATAATAATGTTATTTACTACTGTATGAATCATAATAATTTTTAATGTTCTTATATACGTAACAGATATGGCAATTTCTTAGTTCCCGCATGTTATTCGCGTGTACTCGAAGAGCTGACACCCCATATTTCAGATCAAGATCTTCATTTATTACCATTAGCTCTAAATACTGTAGTATCTGTTTTGAGTACTAATCCACAATCACTTGGAGCAGTACACAAAGATATATTACCTTCTGTTTTCAATCTTGTGCAATCAACTCTTGTTCAAGGAGCTGCTTTAGATAGTTTGTTGGTTCTATTTGAAACATTGATAGTAACAAATGAAGCTGATTTTAATAAATTACTACAAGGATTGCTTCAACCTGCTTTGACTTCGGATCAAGGTCAATTGACCCTTTCAAAACAGGTACCTTTTCTATATTAATATGCAATCGACGATATTTTTATATTTTCTTAATAATTCTTATCTTTCTTGAAAATTTAGGCTTTTTCAACAATTGCACAGTGTATTGCTGTACTTTGTGTATCATCTCAGAAAAATTGTTCTCCTACTGTTGTTGACTTTTCAAAGAAAATAGCGGTTCGTAAAGAATTCCAATTTTATAGGTTGATTTAATATATCTAAATTTTACAATTTAAAAAATTTTTCACAATAGGACCCAAAACAAAGCGATTCCGTAAAGTATTTATCTTTATTAGCCCTAGGCGAAATTGGACGTAAAGTGTAAGTGGATTTCATGAAATTTACTTAATTTACTTAATTTTTGTGAATACATTGGTAAAATTACGGTTGGTTTATATAGGGATTTAAGCAAGCATTCCAACTTGCATGTTATTATTTTGTCTCTGTTTTCAGCAATTTCTGAGGACATAAAATCGGCGGCTGCATTTGCACTTGGTAATGTAAGTGCTGGTAACGTTGGCAAGTATTTGCCAATTGTTATCAATGAGATCAGGGAGGATCCGAAGAAACGATATTTATTATTACATGGGCTTAAAGAGGTAAATAAAATTTTTGGGATTATTGGTAAACATAAATGATATAATAGTTTATTGAGTTTTTTTTAGATTATTTCTCGTTATTCAAATGAAGAAGGTGTCAAAGCACTTGGTCCTTTTGCCGATGACATCTGGTATGTAAATTTATCTCTTCATAAATTTTATAATAGCTACTTATTTGTAATAATATTTATGATTGTTGTGTTATGTTATTTAGGAATATTTTGTTTGATAGCGGCGAAAATATTGAGGAAGGAACTCGAAGTGTTGTTGCTGAATGTCTTGGCAAATTAACATTGGCAAATCCCAATAAGTTTTTGCCAGAACTTCAAGTAAATATCTATTTACTTTTTAGTATATATTATATTTTATTTATGTTAATGTTAACTATTTAATAATGCTTTTTTTAGAAACGTCTTCGATCTACGTCTGCTCAAACTCGTGGGACAGTCGTTACAGCTATCAAATTTACATTTATAAATCAAGGACAGGCATATGATGAGTTATTACGACCTTTAATTGTTGATTTCTTGTCATTAATACAGGATAATGATTTGGTTGGTTTATGATTTTTCATTTAGATAATTTATATTTAATCCGAACAATAATTTGTTTACTTATTTATTTATTTTGATCTTTATTATATAGAATGTACGAAGGCTTTCGTTGTCAACATTAAACTCAGCTGCTCATAACAAACCATATTTGATTCGTGATGTCTTGGATCAATTATTGCCTTTATTATATGAAGAAACCCTTATCAAGGTATTCTATCTATCTGTTTAATAATTTATATGAATCAATAGATTTCATGTTTTGTTGAAATTTTCTAGGAACATCTTATTCATATGGTTGAAATGGGTCCATTTAAACACAAAGTAGATGATGGTCTTGATATCCGAAAGGTACTTATTTGATTATATATATAATATTTGATAAAATTTTCTTAACACATTTTTTTTCAATTTATAGTCCGCATATGAATGTATGTATACTTTACTTGAAACGTGTCTCGATAAGCTTGAAATATATAGCTTCCTCACACGTGTTATCGACGGATTATCGGACCAGCATGATATTGCTATTCTTTCACATACAATGTTAATTCGATTAGCACGGGTTGCGCCAACAGCTGTTACACAAAGTAAGTGTTTTGAATTATTCAGTATTATAAATATTGATATTTACTTAGAATTCAAATTACGTCTTAGGACTTGATGAAGCGGTTGAACCACTCAAGGGGACTCTTACATATAGAATGAAGGATAATGCCGTTAAATCGGAAATTGATAAAAACAATGAATTATGCCGTTCTGCCGTAAGAGTTGTAGTAACTCTGGCTAAATTGGCTGAACATGGTATGTTGGAAGAAATTTACAAGTTTTTCGTTTATAACACTATTGTTTATTTTTTATTTATATTTATTTATAGGTGGAAGCACACCCAAATTCGATGCTTTTGTTAGAGATACTAAAGTCGGACAGTGGAGTGAACAATATAATATCTATCAAGCTGAATTGGAAAATAAGGAATTTGGTGTAGGACACGGAGATACCATGGATCTCTCATAAGTACTTATTTCGAAGAATATTAATAAAATTTTGATAATAAGATGGAGAAACTAGAAAATTATAATATATCATTTAGTTTTAAAAAATGAACAATTTGAATATTTGTATTTATTACTGAATAAATATAAAGCTAAATGAATATATTATATTTATAAAAAATTAATCCAGGTATTTAAAAAAAAAAACTATTAGTTGAGATAAATAAATTTGTTATTAAGAAATAAACTGCTGGTTCAGCAAAACAAGCTCAATTTATTTTTAATAAATACTCTCTTACTTTACTAACAAACTATCAGTCTGGAGAAATAACATGAAAGTGGATTGATTATACATTAGTATTACTAATAAATGATTTACTATAAAAGACCCATATCATTGAATATTAATTAAGTACATTAAAATAGATTATATATAAAAGGCATTAAAACAAATTGATTATTTTGATAATAGACTTGAAATAAAAAATAAAAAATAAGAATAAAAAATAAATAAATATTAAGAAGGACGAAGCCTTTAAGGGACCTTAAAATTGTTGATATAATTTAGTAAAGAAGTAGACAGAGAATATAGGAAGTGTACAAAACTTAAGATTTACCAGATGGTAAACTTCTCATACTTCTCATTCAAAACTTTCTCAATCAGCTCTATCCCTGCCTCTACCGTTTGCTCCTTAATCTCTTCTCGTGAACCAAAAAACTGATAAGATTTATTGATTAATCTTTCCTGAATAGCCAAACTAATATAAACCAAACCCACCGGCTTATTTTCTAGTGCCTGAGGTCCGGCATTACCAGTAAAACTAATTGCTAAATCTACTTTTAGCAATTGCTGAGTATTCTGTGCCATCTCCCGGGCACATTGCTCGCTAACTGCTCCATATTTTTCAAGAGTTATTGGAGAAACTTTTGCTATTATCTTCTTGGCTTCATTACAATAGACTATCAAGCCACCTTTCAATATTTGACTTGCCCCAGGAATGTGGGTAAGGGTAGAAGCAAATAAACCACCGGTAAGACTTTCGCAAGTAGCGAGGCTTAGATTATTTTCGGTGAGTAAATTAACTAAGGATTTCTTCATTTAGTCAGTCTTTTGCCAGTCGAGAAGAATCAATTGGATTCGCTTCAATCGCAATCCTTTAAAGATAGTTAACTCGAGACAATGAATTTAAACTATTCCCCTTCCCCACTTCCTCTTTTAAACTCCAATAAAACTCTGTTTTTTCTTAGTTTGGCCATTCCGAGTGGTAGTAAAAGAAAGTATGATTTAGTTTTTCTTTAAGGCTTTTTTGGTGTAGTCTTAGTCAATCATAACATCACCCCAGAAGATCCTGTCTAAAATCAGAAATTTATTATGATATAATACAGTTAGGCCGCTATGGTAGTGAGTAGTGACAGAAATTAGATAATAATTGAAACTTATTGGTTAAAAAAAATCGTACCATTAGTACATTCTTAAATACAAACAAACATTAGGACCAAAATTTCAGGAAAGAGAATTTTATACTTTTCATAATATTTTATTACTACCTGAAGCAGTAAAAATGTTTACACTTGTTATTATAGCCTCAACTAATATAAAGTTCTGTATAAATAGTAAGAAAACTGTACCATTAATAAACAACAAAAATTTTTCAAGTACATGTTATTTTCTATTATATTACATTGAAATAAAATATTATTTATTATATATCAAATGATAAAAAGAAATCAATATTTCTTGCACTTTATACTTTTGATCATAAAACTACTCATATAACCCTATAAAAATAAATATACCAATAAGTAATACTAAATTTAAATTTGTAATTACATCTGATACAGAAATAAATATCAGTATATCAAAATTATAATAATTAAAAACTGAATTAATATAGAGGGTGATTAAAATTATCCGGCCACTTTAAAAATAAAAAATTTTTATATAAAAATATGAAAAAAAAATAAAAATTTAAAATCAATGTTTTTATTTATGATTTAATTTATTAAATTATGTAAAAATTAATAATTAATTCTATTGCCATTTGTGGCAATAACTGCCTCAATTCTCTTAGGCATACTATTAACCAATTTTTTATAATATTCCAGAGGAATATCTTTTCACGCATCTTTAATATATTTTTCAAGCACTTTAATATTAGATGGTGGTGGTGTACAACGGCAAACTATCATTTTCATCTTTGCCCAAAGGTTCTCAATTGGATTGAGATCAGGACTTTGGGCAGGCCAATCAAGCACCACAATTCCAACATTTTTGCGTGCAGCTGTAGCAACCTTTGAATGATGTGGTGAGGCATTATCTTCTTGGAAAATCCCATTACCTTGTGGAAAATGTCTTTGTAAAGTAAATACAACATAATCCTTAATGGTTATAGTGTGTATTTAACCAGTAACTAAACCATTTAATGGAACAATTGGTCCAAGTCCATTCCAGAAAAAACACCCCCAAAACATTTTGCTAGAACTATCATCAGTAAATTTTTTAGGACGCGGATCCTTAGGGATTCCTTAAATTGTTATAGAATCCTTAAGGATCTGGCAATTTATAGAATCCTTAAAAATCCTTAGACGAATTATAAAGATCCCTAAGGATTCTATAAATTGCCGGATCCTTAAGGATTCCTAAAAATAAAATCTTCAAGGAATCCCTAATTTTAAATTTTTAAGAATTTATTTATAATAATTAAACAACTGAAAAACAAATTTACAAATAAAGTTTTTATATTAATTAAAATAATTTTTTTTTTATTATTTATTAACAAATAACTACTAAAAAATAAATTTATTGACAAAAAATTCGTTTTCAAAATCAAATCTCTTCACTACATGTGCTAAACCTACAATAGAATTAAAAGGAATTACATCATATTTATTTACAAATTTCATATGAGGACATTCATACTTGATAGGATGCCGTTTGGAATAATAATCATACCAATGTACTAGTACGATAGGTAAGATAGGATGGTTTGGAAGAAATGAAATTTCTGCTAACATTAATACCTGCAATATAAATTATTTCATTAATTAATAATACAAAAAAATAAATAAAATAATATGTAGATTTATATAAATTTACTTTGCCATAACATATTCCATCATCAGTCAAGTAATCTGCATCTTCCATCGCAATTGCAACATCACTAAATCTTGCATGACCATGAAACTTGCTAGTTGCATATATAATTTCGTTATTTGATAAAATCCCAGTAGCATAGATTTTCAAATAAATATCTTCACTTTCAGATACATTAGATTTTTCGTCTAAATAATGGTCTAAGCAATTAATTAAATGATTCATTCCTTCAATGCACAAGTCATCTACAATCTTTTCATGTTCAAGTTTTATCTGAAGAGATTGTAATTCACTAATTGGCAATTCCCAAAGTAATGACTTCATAATTTCTAATTTTGATTTAAAGATTTTTTTTGGAATAGATATAATTGTTTGCCGGCGAATCTAAAGATTAAAAAATAAAATAATATTAGTATTTTAATTAATAAAATAAATTAAAATTATAAAATAAAGTAATTTTACCGTTTTAAACATTTGATCTAAAATATTTTTTTTATTTGTCATTCTATACGGGTTTTTTACCCAGTTTTTGTGTAATGTCTCGTAGGTTTCGGTAGTTAGCCCATTTATTGTACCATAACATTGAATAGTATGAATTGTGTGATATCTCCACATATGAAGTTTTGGTAATTGAAGGCTGCTAGAAGAAAATCGTTTAAATAATTTTACAAAAGCTCGTGTCCAGTCAATTATCTCATTCTTTAATAAAAATTTCATTGAATTAATTAAAATATAGAGTTTATATTATATGGTATAAATTGTAATTACCTCAAAAATTCTCAAATCATCTTCATCACTGAATTGTTCCTTTCTTGACGTTATATACATCTTAACAAATTTAATATAACAATCAATAAGCGTCATGTATGGAATAAAAGAAATTGAAGCTGCATTTTTATCATCAACTGTATAGAGTTCATCAATTACGAATATAATAATTTTCATTACATCTCGCATTTCAGCTCCTGTAAATTTTACTCCGCGCTGATATCCTTTTGATAATATTTTTAAACCATTAAACGGTGTGATATTAGCTAATCTATTATCCATTTTAGTGAGAATTTTATTGCCACATTGCTGCATAATCATATCTCTTGTAAAATTAAGCATATATGGAAATAGTCCAATTTCCTGAAGATGCATACGATCCATGGCTACTGCATCATAAATATTTGTCATTCTAGTATTAAATAAAATAAATGCTTAATTAAATAGTAATTACAATAAAATATGATTTACAATATACCTGAAATTCCAAAAAAAATTTTCGTGGTCATGAATGGAGTATTCTGCAGCATTGTGAGAAATTACAGCCTCACGCATATTTTCATGTGTTCGTAAAATTATTGAATTCTGTTCAATATGCATATTATTCAGTTGATCGCCAGGCGTAAGACATTTATAGCAAGGATATTTTGCACGATATGACTTGTAAGTACAACAAATATTTTGTGCTTCCAACATATCTGCAAGTATAGTAGACAAATAAGGAGTAAAATGTTCAACGGTTCCATTTATTGCTAAATAAATACTATCATTTTGAAGAAGTGGTTCCAATAAAATTTTTAAAGCACATTGTTCTAATTTCCGTTGCATTTGTCTAAATTCTTTCGATTCTCTTAATTTATTATTTCGAGTAGTTAAATGTTGAAGAAATTCAATTAAGACTTTAGCGTCAGGAAAATTTCGACGCCAGTTCGGAATATTGCCTAAAGTTAAAAAAATAGGATATTCCGATTGTTTTCCTAAAGAATCAAGTGTTGTCCCATCAGTATATATCATAACGGCCAGAATCTTGCTAAATGGATTTTGTCTTTCACGCCACCAGTTTGCAGTATTCTGTTCAGAATAAACACACACTAAAATTCCGTTCTTAAATACAAATCAGTATTAGTTAATGGGAATAATGAAGAATCAGAAAATCAAAATGGTATACAACTTTACTTACTTTGTTAGATTCCCATTGTTCATTATAATCAAAAAGAAAATCTTTACTTAAATCAGTATTTGATACAAGACTTTTGATTGCATCAAAAATTGGCTGATACTGAAATTTGTAGATTTTTCCTTCAAATTCACACAAATTTTTGTTTTAATATTAAAATTTTTAATATCCATTTGATCCATATACATTCTACTTTTTCGTGTAGAACTAGGAAGAGTTTCAGTACAACTTTTTCAAATTATACGCAACATAGAGTCAGCAGCTGCATCCGAAAGATGGTATTGTGTTACAGCTGTCATGAATTCCCTATATGTTTCACTTGGCCATAAAGACTGTTTTGGTTCAGTTTTACTATTTAAGATCTCATATGCATTTGATAGTCCCACGCCATAAGAACCTTTATTAGATCCCGAAGAATTTTCAGAACAATTGCTTTTACTGTCTTTTAGCCAGATGAATTCATCGATCTCAACTTCATTATATTTCTCACCTCCATTATCATCAATATTGTCACCATTCTTAACTTCATTTTCATCATAATATTCATGTTCATCAGCAGCACCATCTTCATCTTCGTCAGCATCATAATATTCATATTCATCAGCAGCACCATCCTCATCTTCGTCAGCATTATCATCATCTTCATCAGCAGCACCATCTTCATCTTTGTCAGCATCATTATCATCTTCGTCTTCGCCAGCATCAACATCTTCATCTTCATTAGCATAATTATCATCCTTAGCATAATTACAATTATATTCATTAGTATTATTTTCACCGGTTATATAGTCATCTATTTCGTTATGTTCAAATACTTGTTTGATCTTGATTTATTTGAATAGATTTAAAGTTAGGAATTAGTCTAGTAAAAAATGACGAATAGATATACAAAGAATTACCTCATTAACCATTCTATTGTTAATACTTGAATCTTGTGAAAAATTACCAAATCTTTCAATATCATTCCAGATATCATTATTAAGAACTGTTGGTAATGATATAGACGTAAAATCCAGTTGCCATTGATCTTGAATCCAATTCAACGTGTACGAATGTTTGAAATATGGATGATTCTTATTATAGTGTTGTGCTATATCAGTTCTTCGTGAGAAATATCTTTTACAAAGGGTACAATTATACATTTTTAATTACAAAAAATGTAATCACAGAATGAAATTTTAATAAGCCACTTTGGATTATTAAATCATACATATTCTGATCTTACGTCATTTAATCAGTAAAATTATATAATTTCAAACATTATATCATTTAACTATTTTCTTTTCCACGACCTATTACTTGAACTATTATCAAAGTTTTCAAACGAATTCATTGTATCCAAGAATAATTACGGAATTTTATTATGGCCGAAGTAAAAGGTAAATAATAATATAAGCGAACTTTTTCAAAAAGTTGTTTTAATTTATTTTTTTAATACGTTTCTTTATAATTATTTAATGTTTCTTAATTTATTTTTTTAACGCGTTTCTTTATAATTATTTAGCATTTTTTAATTTATTTTTTTAACGCGTTTCTTTAAATTATTTAGCATTTTTTAATTTATTTTATTAATAACGCATTTCTTTATAATTATTTAGCGTCTAATCGAAGAGTTTTAAGAAGTAAAAACCTTCAAGAATCTTCTATTGCAATTGATTCTGAAGCAGTAGAAACTGTAGTAAGTGAAGCAGATAAAATTGCAGCAAGGTTAGCTGCTAGGGGTAAGTTGACTGAACTTTACATATCGATACTATTGTTAAACATAATTATATTAAAAAATTTTGATTATGTAGTTAAAACTACAAAAACTCCAAAACGACAGAAAAAAAATAAAAAGAAAAATCCTGTTCCGGAACAAGTTAATAATGAAAAAATCTCAGAAACACACGATAAACCAGATGATTCCAATGATATCACTGATGAAGCTGCACTTGCAACTTTTGACAATACTTCTTCAAGTACAACTGTTTCACGATCAATAGATACCGGTATGGAAAATAAAATCTGTGTAGTTTATTATTATTTATTAATATTTTTTTCTTTTATAATAGATTCATTTACAGTATTTAACCAACAGATTATTAGTGGTGTAAAACGGGTATTAGAGCAAAACAAGGAAATATATAAAGCAATTCATGAAAATAAAGCTGCGCAAGAATCATTCCGAAAAGAAATTTGTGAAAAAATAGGAAATCTTTCAGAAAAAATTGAGCAATTAATTACTCCTGATGATTCTTATTGGAAGGTAAATTCTAATATTATATTCATGTAAAAATCGTTATTACTACTAATTCACTGTCTTTAGAATTTGGCATCAAGAATATGTAAAACACAACTTCCTCTTCTTGGCCTTCATCCTGATGAATTAGAATTCAAAAAATGTTTTGAAGTAATTCTTGAGCAAGAGAAACCGGGATATATTAAACAGCATGGATCTCAATGGGTCCATTTTTATACAGGACGTATTGGTCCTTTGGTAATTACTCCAATTATGTTTATTTGTTAATAATAATTTAATTATTATTAACATATTTATTTCAATATTTCAATAGTGCCGTGAAGTAATCAAAAGTCACCGGTGTGACAAGACAAAAGATGTCCGGGCTGCAATGTTTGATATATTTGGTGAACAGAATTTATCCCGTATCAATACTTCTGCAAAAGCCGATGATATCCAAGCATTTAAAAACTCCAATAAAATAAAAGAAGCATTCAAATGCTTATTTGAGACGGATGATGACAATATTCTTCCATATATTGAAGCGATCAAGAAAAAAGCATGGAAAAAAAAAGTACTACCAAAAGAGATACGGCTTTTACTTTAGCTGTCTGTGAAATTATGTTAAATCCAAGACATCCAAAAATTTCTGTTGGTGATGATGCTCTTCGCAACCATTTTAATATGTATTGGGTTAGTATTTAATACGTCTTATTGTATATTATTTTTATTTATTTTTATTTATTTACAGTATAATTATTAATCATAGTATTTTAAATTTTTATAGGATTGTATTTGTAATTCGGCAGAAATAACTGCAGATACAACCAAACCAATTAGACAAGTAGAATTCGGTAAAGATTATGTTAGTTCTGAAGATTCAGATTCTCTCAGTGATTCTTTTGAAGAAGATTTAGATAATAGGTTAAAAGAACATCAAAAGAGATATTACGAGAACGATAGTGATACTGAAAATCAAAGTCAAAAACATCAACAGATGGATAATGATGTTCCTTTTACTCTTTCTGTCAATCAAAAAGAATAATTTTAAATTACATTAGGGATTAATTTTTATTTTTTATATGCTTTATTTTATTTAAATTAAATTGTTAAATATGCTATTTAAATGTTATAATTAATTAATAAATAATAAATAAAACGATTGATAAATATACTATATAGATATTACAATTATACAATTAATTGTTAAATTCGTAAATTCGTAATAAATAATTAAAAAAATAATCCTTAAGGATTCCTTAATACTAAATTATGATCCTTAAGGATTCCATAGAAGTTTTTGAAATAAGGAATCCTCGCTGGTGGGGACGGATCCCTAGGGATCCTTACTAATTATGAGATTTTTGGAATCCCTAGGGATCCGCATCCCAAAAAAATTACTGATGATGCTTTACAGTAACTGAAATACAGTCAGGATTTAATTCTTCCCCAGATTCACGCCATACCTTTCCCTGACGTCCTTGTTGAAACTGTGTAAAAGTGCTTTCATCAGTAAGGTTGCTTGCCGAAACCTAGGGGTTTAGGCAAGATGGCGTTTCGCCGAAAAGTGAAATTCTGCCGAAACTATATTAAAGTTATATTAAAAAACTGGTAAAACTTTGGAGAAAGGCAAAACTGCCAAAACTTATTATAAATGCCGAAACTACTGAAACTCTACCGAAACTATAATAAATTTATAGTAAAATTTTGACGAAACTAATCGTAGGATTTTGAAGAGGTTTAGACAAGCAACCTTATTCATCAGAAAAAAGCACACGTTTCCATTTTCTTGCACTCCAATTTTCATGCACATGGGCCCATTCTGGCCATTCAAGACGAGCCTAATAATATACTTTTGACAATGCAGGTTTTTTACGAGGTATACAAGCTGTTAGCCCAACTTTCTTAAGGTTACGGCGTATAGTAATAGCAGAAACAAGTTGTTCTGTACGTGCTGTCCATACTGTAGCAAGCTTTTTCGTGTAAAGTCGATGGTTTTCACCATTTTCTTGAACAAATTCTTTAAGCTCTTGCTGAGCTGGTAAATTAAGAAGGGGTGGACAACCAGTTTGTTTTTTTGGTGTTAAGGAATGTGTTTCATAAAAGCGCTTAAGTATATCATTAACAGTTGTTTTCTCACATCCCAACTGTTTAGCAATTGTACGACTTGATTGTCCACAATTATGCCCATAAACAATTGCGCCACGCATTTTTGGGGTAAGTGGCTTCATATTTTTAGAAAAATATGAAGTTAAGGGGTATGTTTATCATGATTATAAATACAAAATAATGTATTGATTACATCATATTATTACGTCATGATCAGCATAAATTTGCCAAAACAAAGTGGCCAGATAATTTTGATCGCCCTCTGTAAGTATAGATATAATAAAACTATTTATTGCTAATATTTTTTACTTACTTTTATAAAGATTTTTACTAAAAACATTCAAATTTAGTAATTTTACTAATAATTTTTTTTTGTTAATTGGTTTAAAAAGAAAAAAATTAAAATAATGTAATATTTTTTTTTTATATATATTTGAATAAAATTTTCAAAATTTTTATTTATAAATTTTACTTTATAATTTTAGTAACTTTTATTATAATAAATAGAATAAGAAGTTTACTATTTACCACTACTGGTAATTAACATTGGTATTATATAATAATATATATCATATAATTTTAAAATTTCTTAATACACAAAATGAAATTTTTACTATTATTATTATAATTTATAAAATTGCTATAAATCACCAGCAGTGATTATCATGAATTTTGGCTAGAATTAAGTTATTTACATAAAAATTTCCTTTTTAGAATCTTGTATAATGCATTTCTCTATTTTTGATAAGAAATAAAATTGCCTTTTTTGGTTTATATAATGTTATTCAGATGCTAAAAAAGTAATTTTTATATCAATTACTTAATTTTACCTAAAATTTAAAAAATCATAATCATATAATACCAGTAATGACCACTATTGATAATAAATAGTAAATTTCTAATAAAAAATATTTTTTAATCTTAATTTAATATATATTAAATTACTATAAATAATAATAAAACTATATTAAAATTATAATAATAGATATATTAAAAAATTTATATAATTATTGAATTTAAATAATATTAAAACATTTTGTCAATAGTTTAAATAGTTCTAATAAAGGTTGAGTTTAGTACACAATTTTAATTTCATCTATACTACTAGTAATATAAAAAGATTTTTTTTGCATTTAATAGTATGTATTCTAAAATGCATATTGGCAGATTTAGTTACTTATTCAAATATGTTTATTTTAGTACATAAAGTATTACAAAAATCATTATTATAGCGAAGTATTAGTTTAAAAAGCATGTGTAATTAAACAAAATTTATTTTAGCCAAAATTATGTTAATTCTTGCCAAAATTAAGTAATTTTGTCAATTAAATTAGTAAAATTAGGACATGCATTTTTGAATCAGAAAATATAGATCTACCCAACTTTCTCCGCATCTATTCAATTTCATTAGAGAATCAAATTTTGTTGAATTTATCCTCATCTAACTGGTCATTTATAACAAGTCAAATCCTTTAAAGTTTCGTCTGCATAATTTTATATCTAATAATCCTTAAGATTTGTATTTATAATTTTTATTTATTTTGAGAAATGCGAAATGAAGTTACAAAAACATGTTACAGACAAAAATCTCATATGTTGGTAAACGAAATTATTGAAGTTTCAAAATCTAGGTAAAGTTCAAAAAAAAAAAATTAAAATTTTGGAACATAAAAAAGTATTATTTATTTTTAATGACTTAATTAATTAAATTCTTATCGCTAATAACAGTTTCTAGAGCAAAAGTATAAATAAATTAAACAAATACTTTCACAAACACAAAGAAATTAATTGACCATTAAAATTCCCATCTTACCCAAAGAATACAGTCAACTCCCTCTATAGTCACTCCCGTTATAGTCACATTCTACTATATAGTCACACCAGTTGAATGTTCAAAACACTTTATTATTAAAATCTATCCTATATAGTCACAATCTATCTATAGTCACTATC